ACAGTTAATATAGCTAAATTTTACACAACATCTATTTTACCACATAAGAAAAAAACATTCATCTTTTGGTTCCATTTCTAGAAATTCTATTTGTTTTTTTCTGATATGTATTTATTAATATACCTCTCTTGTCTTTTTTATATCCTCTCATTTATTTAAACATGTTTCTAAGTCGTTTGCATCTGATAGTAACTTTGGAGATCTAGGTATTTAGTTTATTATTTGTGCTGATAGTAGCTTTTTTTAAAACTGTGTGTATGTTTGGCTAGCTTTATCTGTGAGGGTCTTGTTAAAGTCTGAGAAGTAGACTCCTCCTAAAGGACCAGATTTGCTCCTGCCATATGTCTGGATTTGCTACTAAAAATGAACTGGGCTATGCTGATAGTATTCATTTGAACTCCAAAATCACATGAGGGCAGGCTTGTGATTGCAAACATCAAAGGCCCCTAATAAGATAGTGAAAAGAAAATTTACACTTTTGGGAAGTGGTAGAAAACATTTGCAAATCATAAACAGTCTAGCATTCAAATATATAAAGAGCTCTTTAACTCTACAACAAAAAGACAAACACCCAGTTAATAAACAGGCAAAACGCACAAATAGAAATTTCTCCAAGGAAGATATACCATGGCCAATAAGCACATGAAAATGTGCTCAACATCATTAATCATTAGGAAAATGTAAATCAAAACCATAAGTGATACCACGTCACACCCACTAGGATGGCTGTAATTTTTAAAAACCCTGAAAATAACAAAGGTTGGCGAGGATATGGATAAATTGGAACCCTACCTTGCTGGTAGGAATGTAAAATAGTGCAGCTGCTGTGGAAAACAGTTTGGTGTTCCCTCAAAAAATTAAACATATGACCCAGTAACTCCAGTCCTAAATTTATACCCCCCCAAAATTGAAAACAGATATTCCAACAAAACTTGTACATGACTGCTCATAACAATCAAAGCAGTGCTATTCACAATTACCAAAAGGTGGAAACAACTCAAATGTCCACCAGATGCAAATGCATAAAGAAAATGTGGCCTATCTATACAATAGAATACAATTCAATCATAAAAATTGAGGTACTGATACATGGCACAACAGAGATAACTTCAGGTGAAAAAAGTCAGGCACAAATGTTCACAAATTGTATGACTGCATTTCAGTGAAATACATAGAATAGGGAAAACCACAGAAATAGAAAGTACATTAGTGTTTAACAGGGGCTCCAGGGAGGGGGACTGGGAAATGACTGCTAATGGGTATGGAATCTCTTTATGGGATGATGAAAATGTTTTTGAATTTGATAATAGTGATGGTTACACAACACAGTGAATATACTATGACTGAAATGACCGGTATATTGAGTTGTCGTTGCTGTTTTTTTAATCATAACAGAGAACATTGAGCCTGTTCTCTCTACAAAGCATCAATCTAAGAGGGTTCAAATTTTAAATCTAAGATCCAACACTTACTAGCTGGGTACCTTTAGACAAGTTACTTCATCTCTCTGTGACTCAATAACATCATTGGTAAAATAAGAGTAATAGATTATGTCTACTTCCATAGGGCTGTTAGGAGGATTAAATATGCTAATACATAGAAAGCACTTTAAACAGTGCTTGAAAGTGAAAGTGTTAGATAATCAGTCGGTCAGACTCTTTGTGACCCCATGGACTGTAGCCTGCCAGGCTCCTCTGCCCATGGGATTCTCCAGACAAGAAGAATACTGGAGTGGGTTGCCATTTCCTTCTCCAGGGGTCAAACCAGGATCTCTTGCATTGTAGGTGGATTCTTTACCATCTGAGCCACCAGGGAAGACCTTAAACAGTGCTTGGCACATAGTAAAAATTAGCGAAGTGTTAGATACAGGCATACCTCATTTTATTGTGCTTCACATTATAGTGCTTTGCAGATATTACATTTTTTAATAAATTGAACCTGTGTTATCAGATGATGGTTAGCACTTTTTGCAATAAAGTATTTTTCAATTAAGGTATATACATGTTTTGGATATAATGTTATCACACACTTAATAGACTACAGCAGAGTGTCAGCATATCTTTTATATGCACTGGGAAACAAAAAAAATCATGTGATGCTTCGTTATTTGCTTTGTTGCAATGGTCCAAAACTGAACTCACAGTATGTCCCACATATGCCTATACTATGATCATTTCAACAAATTCTCACAACAATCCCATGAAGTAGGAATTATTAGTTATTCACATTTTACAGATGAGAAAACTAAGGCACAAAGAGAATAAACAATTCATCAGGTGAGCCAGCTAGCAAGTGTCAAGCAAAGCCACCAGCAGGATTCAGACACCAGCAGTCTGTCAGGGTCTCTGTTCTCAACTATTGCTATGCTCTGCCTCACATAAATCAGTTGTATCAAGCCCTGGAATTCATAGCTAAGATGAGATTCAATTAGGTATTTACAGTTTTCAAAAACTGAATCATGCACTTCCGCTTCTGGTGGCACAGATTCCATCCCTGGTTGGGGAAGTAAGATCCCAGGTGCAGGATGGCGTGAGCCACACACAAAAAATGTGAATCAAATTTAAGTAAACATGTTAAGTAAATACTACCATGGTTGTTATCCAGGCATGGCAAAACTTTCAAGAGCACATAAATGACTGAAGTTTAGAAAACACTGGAGTAAATCATGGAAATCTAAACTATGATAGAACATATCTGGGCTGTTACCATATACTAGGTAGGCTACTGCACACCATGATTAAAACCGGTATCTCTTGTGTAATAACTCATCTCAGGCTGTAAATGTTCACCAGGTATCTAGCCAAAAGAGAGGGAAGCTGCAGAACTCAGCAAAAGCCAGCCTGAGGAGAAAGCATCCTGATTAAAGTTAGAGAAAGGTTGTGGGTGGTGCCACCCCTTGACATCTGAAAGTGAATTGGTCAACCAGCCATCTATTAGATAGTTTCCTACCCATCACCCGCTGGGAACATGAGGAACAGTGGTCATAGTACCCAAAAACATTTTCATTTTTTTGAAATTAAAAGAAAAAATTAATATGATCCAGACTAAATTATATTCATCTTTATACCAACATCTGTAAAATATAATTTTTCAAAATTTATGGAGGAAGGAACCCAAGAAGGCAAAAATGCCTAGGGCCCACAAAAGTCCTAATGTGGCCCTGACACTGGAGTGGATCTCATGACCCTCTCCTCCTGTCTGGTCTTCAAAAAACCACTTCAGCAGCCAATATATGTAGTACCCTGATCCTGTTAGCACCCCCCTCTGTGTTGAGTAAAAGTGAAGAGACCACGTATGGGAAATCCAGCACTCCTGGATCATTGGTTTAAGGAGACTCAGGAGGGGCTGCTAGTTGCAGGGGCAAGAGGCTTGAACCAGAGCAGGAGGAGGTAGAGACCCCTGGCACTCAAGATTTTTAAAGACTGCCCAATAGCCTGCTCCTGAAAAATACTTTTCACCCTCCTCCACTCCTCCTGGAATCGCACCATTATTTACTCCTTTGAAATAAGACAGCAAGAACATGTTGAAAAGTACACAAACTCGCTGGAAAGCCTGCGGTCAAGTTGCCGGGCTTCCCTGGAGCTCAGTTTTATTTGTAAAAAAGAAAAAAAAGAAAAAAAATTAGGAGATAATAATGGTGGTTGTAAAAAAAGTGAAAGTATGCACAGTGTCGGGCATGGGACGCGTTTTTTAAAGAAGTGATTTTTTTTTTTTTCCCACGCTAAGCGGCTTGTGGGAATCTTCCCGATCTTACTTCCCCCACCAGGGGTGGAACCTGTGCCCGCTACAGTGGCAGCATGGAGTCAACCACTGGACGGCCAGGGAAGTCCCAAATAAGTGATTCTTATAATATGAAGGATGTTAAAACGTCCTGGGACACCTGCAAACACTTCTTGGTCAAAGAACTAGAGTCTTCATTCGTGGCTTGGCCCCTTTTAATTTATCTGACACATCCGTAGGGAAAACAGTTCAGTAGTATAATTCTAGATAAATGGAGGGAGAGAAGAGGTGTGGAAATGGTAGTGGGGAATGCATGCACTTCTGCCAGGTATACAGTACCGCCCCAGAATTAGGCGCACTTTAGGCGCCTGCAAAGCGTGGTTCCTTACGATGTGCAGCAACCTAGCACAGCAAATGTTGCCTGCGCCAGGAGCTGATGGAAGGGGCCCGTACAGCACAGGCATTCTTGGATGCACTAAGCACTTGGCAGGTTTTTACACTTGCACTCTGACGTGGGTTCACTACTAAAAATCTGAAGTCACTGGAGCGCGCGTGAGACATCTTGCAGCTTGCATCTGAGCACCCGGACTGCGTTGCAAACCCAAACAGCAAACTCCAGCTCCCGAAATGCACGGTGGGATCTGATTTCAAAAACCCCGTGCAAAGCAAACAAAAAACAACCAGGCAAACAGCCTCCAAGCTTATCATTTCGTCTTAACCGCTAGCCAGATTCTTGGACTTCGCGGATTTTGCGCGCGAATGGAGCAGAATCATATAGTCCCATCCATTCCACCAACTTCTGCTCAGAACCCAGTGCAAGAATAACTTCACCCTACTTTGCTTGGTTTGCTGGGGGTTCCGTGTCATCCCTACCCCTACCACTCCACCTTTTCCTCTGGGAAAACAAATCTCGCAGCACTGGTGAATTGCGCGAGGGTTGGGCGGATGAATATTGCCCAAACACTTCTCCACGAGCTCCGGGAGCCGAAGTTTAATTCACCCCACCCCCGACCCCAAATGGCTTTCGCAATCCAGCACAGCCCCTTCCTCCAACCAGATATTTCGTCCAAGGTGGAAGCAGTCAATTAAACTACAAATTGGAGTCACGGTTCCCCGAACAAGCGTATCCACTACCAGCACCACTATCACATGCACTCGCCCTATTTTACTCCCACGCCCTGGCCCCAACCTCAGACCCATCGGGCCCCACCCATCCCCACCAGAGGCAATGTGAAAGCTACTAGGGGGCGTCTATCCGACTCCAGCGGGTACACTTTGAACTTGCGGAAGGCCACAAAACCCTATATAAGGCGCGCAGTCCCAGTATTTGCGCCAGAAGAGGTTCCGGCGCCAGAAGAGCACCGCTGGAGACCTCAGGTCCCAACTCGAGCCCAGATCCTCGGATCGCCACACCCGCAGCGCAGAGTCCGCAGAAGCGCGGGCTTTCATCGACAGCATGGACCGCAGCCACTTTGACATAGGATTCCACAATTTGGGAATCGACGAGGACGGAGAACTGCATGGTTAGTGCCTAGACGGTGATGGCAGGTGCTTCGGCAAATCCCAGAAAAGGAACTTTCCCTGGGAAGGGCAGGTGGACGGGACACTGCACAGCAGCTCCTCCTCCAACACTGCGCCGGCCCCCTCCAGCCCGCGCACCGTGGGCTCCAGCCCCCCCCTGCCCCAGTCTCTCCCTTTTGCTTTCCTCTTTTCCCAGATGTGGAGCCTACCCTGATCTCGGAGGGTTTAACTGGAGTGGAAGATGAAACTCTGTCCTCACCTGAGCCCGGAGAAGCAGCTGCAGCCGCAGCCGCAAACTACTTTGGCGAGGTGGACTCCAACCTCCTGGACGACGAAAACAGCGAGGGCGATGAAAATGGTGAGGGCGACGGCGGCGATTTTGAGCCCCCGCTGCAGCAGGAGGAGCCGGCCCCCCTGGCCATTCAGGGGCCCCAGATTGCAGCGAGAAAGCCGCGCCGCTGCCGTACTGTTTTCACCCAGTTGCAGCTGCTGGAGCTGGAGCGAGTTTTCCACCACACTCAATACCCCGACGTGTTTGCACGGTAAGTGGCTGGCTCCGGAGACGCCCGGTTCTTCACTGGCCCGCGCGCCTTCCAGGACACCTTAGGTTCTTTCCCAGGACCCTTCCCCCCCTCCTCTCCCGAGCCAAAAGCCACTTTGGAGGCTCGAGGTCTCCGGGTCTGCCCTAGCTCGCGGGGGTTGGGGCAAAGCCTTCAGAGCTTGCAGAGGTGCAAGAGAGGGATGGGACTAGGGTGGAGAAAGTAAAGCAGGGCGGATTAATACTGATTTAATTTAAAATCTTGGTAATTTGCTCATCTTGGGGTTTTGCAGGCATTTTTATATTTTAAATATTGCAGTAAAACTTTATTGTGGTTACTCCGCTTTTTCCACGCCGTTTAAATTTTGTGCATGAGGAGAGCGCCTCCTAGCCCTCACCCTGGTCTCTCGGCCCTGCCACGTGGAGCGCTGTTTCTAGGCGGCAGAGTTTTGACCGTTAAAAAGCCCGGGCTGGAGCCCCCTAGAGTACGAAGTGGTTGTCGCTCAGTCGTGTGGTACTCTTAGCAACCCCGTGGGGTGTAGCCCGCCAGGCACCTCTGTTGGTGGGATTCTCCAGGCCAGAATACTGGAGTGGCTTACCATTTCCTTCTCCATAGAGTATGAAGGGGAAGGTCTATTCTGTCCTGATAGGAATGGGGCATCAGGACGAATCGGTGTGAGGTTTATGGGCGCCCTTTCTGGTTCCGCTGTATACAGCCTTCGCCCTTGATTTCTTGGCTGATATGGCTTGAAGTTTCTCCATGAGAGTTCACCGCTCCTTTTTACAATAAACAGAAATACTTGGGTTTAAAACGCCGCTTTTTTGCGGGGGGTGGGGGGGGTGGGGTGTGATTTTAGTTATTTTTATGGAGGGGCCTCCGTAAAAGTGAAAAGATTTTCAAGTTGGTTCTCTGCTGTTGCACAAATGGAAAAATTAATTGAGTCATATTGAAGTAACAGGCACACTACCAGGAATTTTAATATGTATTCCCTTCTTATATTTTAATTAATGGGTGAGTTGTCCACGGGAAGACCCTCCCTAAGTAAACCATAAACTGTATTACAGAAAATTGTAATTTACAGAAATGTAAATGATATATTTTATCCACAATTCCAAATACTGAATTTGCACTTTTCCCCCTGTCAGAGAGGAGATTGCAAGACGTCTGAATTTGGCTGAAAGAAGAGTGCAGGTTAGTAAATCTTAATTTTAAGATTGGCTGGGCAGCCATTCTAAAACATGCATTAGGTTTTGTCCTGAAAACTCTCAATTTGGTGTGCTTTGTTGTCTTTTCCATACACACACACGGGGAAAAAAGCAGAACACAGACCTCTCTCCTCTCTACACACACACACACACACACACACACACAGGTTTTTTTCCAGTAAATAAATAAAGTTCATCTTCTAACACTGGCATCCTTTAGGGAGGCTGTTAGTATTCCCTAAAAGAATATTTCTATGTGACTCTACTGGGGTTCAGTCTCACCTGGGAAGCATTCAATTTAATACTCCGAAAGCTAGGTTATAAGAAAGATCAACTGTACTCAGTTATTTAAAATACTTAAAACCTGGGCATAAGGTCTTAGCTAAAGGAGTGAACTTATAAATATTTAGACATTGGTGTGAGGGAGTAATTCAAACACAGAGCATAGTACATGAGTAACTAACATATATTTAGTTAAACTGAAACTGTCAAGGGGGTGGCTTAAAGATCCAAATCCCAGTGCCTAATCCTCTTGCTGCTGTTTTTTAAGTGTTTTGCAAAGTAGTGTAGAGGTGGCAGTCTTAAACTCTAGTGTTTTTTTTGGAAGACTTTGAAGTCAGCCTGAAAACATTGCTAAAATATTGCAGTTATGGTGGTAATGGGAAAAAGTTTGCAAGCTTTGGAAAATCATCCTTAAAAATGAATCCAAAAAAGAGAAGGAATAATTTTGAATAAAGTTTCACTGACCTTAGAAGGGGTGAAAGGTTAAAGAAGAATCAAATTCAACTTTATGAAACTAATAATGCATAAGTGAATATTCTCTTGAAGAATTTTTAGCATCTAAGATTTTGTTGATCCTTTTTGCTGCTATTGTTTTAAAAAGGTGGATTTTATTTCAGCCCAGATTCTCACCTGTGTTAATTTAAAGTACTTTTTTATTTATTCAGGCAGTGATTACAAATCTGTAGATCATGAAGTCAAAAGGTGACTATATCAGTCACTTTAAGTAAAGTATAGATCACCATAGTTATATCAAAGAATATTTGTTTGCCCCCCTCAAAAATATATATATGGATGGATATGGACATATATATGGGTTAGATATATATGTATGAATGTATATGTATGTGTGTGTGTGTGTGTGTGTATATATATATATATACACACATATATATCAGATGGCTTAGTTGTTTTGCCCTAGAGCATGAGTGTAAGTTCAGGGCTTCCCTGGTGGTTCAGCCATAAAGAGCCCACCTGTCAATGCAGGATAGTTGGGTTTGATCCCTGGATTGGGAAGATCCCCTGGAAAAGGAAATGGCAACCCACTCCAGTATTCTTGCCAGGAAAATCCCATGGACAGAGGAGCTTGGTGGGCTATAGTCCATGGAATCACAAAAGAGTCAGACATGACTTAGCCACTAAACAACAACATACGTGAGCACAGTGATGGAAACACACTGTGCATCTGTCAGTGGTGTGCAGAAAAGCAAACCACCGGATGCTGGCATCCTAATGCCATAGGCTGGACCAACAGTCAGGCCTGGTCTCAAAATGAATCTCAGACAGACAAGGTAAACCCAGAGGAAAAGTTCGCTGAATTGTTTTTCCTCATCCTTTGGTTTACATAGTCCTCTCAATGGATTTCTGAAGGGAACATGAGCCAGAAAACACAAGTAAGGAAAAATGCAATGTTCTTGTGTATTTCCAAACACTGCAGCATGATTTCCCCCAAGAAACTTAATAGATGCTTCCCCTACCCATCTTATGCAAGTATGACAGATCTGTTTTATGAAACCAGTATTGGGAATATGGACCTAATATTGGCCAATACTAAAATTTGCTATCCATGGGCTTTTGGCTATGTTTAGGGAGATAGACCCCAGGTACATTTGAATCCCCTCCAGAATGAGCTTTATTACAGTGGCCTTCTTCAGACTATGTTTGCATGTAGTAGAAGGACACCTAATCCAAAAATGGGAGAGAGAAAAGACAGCTTAAAACTTACAGTTTGGGAAGGTCCAAAATAATTAAACACAAGGTAAACCCCATCACCTGCTATGCTAAGAGGAAAGTAAGGTCTAATTGATAGCTTGTTTGTTTGTTAATGGTTGGTAAGCATTTAGAGAGGAGCCTCTTTTGTGACCCTTGTCCCCACAGGACTGGACATGATTGGACCTTCCTACCTTAGGAATGAGTGATGGGATTGGGGTCTCCTGGTTAAGGAGTAGAGCTGGCAGGACCTTGGGTACCCTAACACTCTGGGTAAACAGTGGCTTTTGTCTGACATCCTGAAACTGAAGCTAGAACCAAATAAGCTGCCCTTGTCCTGAGCCCAGGAAGGTTTGGAGGGTAGGGCAGAATGGAGCATGCAAAATTGACAGTGATGACAACAGGGTACTCAGTATCTTATCTGGGGAAAAGGATTTGGGGATTAGTGAATTTGGGTTTGGTTAAACTAAACTTTCCTTAACACTAACAGCTAAAATATTGAGGCAGTGTCCAGAACTTCAGCAACTCTCATGTCCCAGCAAGACAAGCCACAAAGTCCCTGGGCCTCTCATGATCAAGCCTCCATTGACATAGCATCTGCTCCCAGGCATGGACATTAACATCAGGGACCTGGTGCAATTCATCAATTAGGCCTGCATCCAAGACTTGGAAAAAAACTCATTAAGGAATGTTAAAAATGAGAGACAATTCAATGTGCCAAAATCTGGGCTAGGCTTGGCTGACTAAGGATTAACTGAGGGAGGTGAGCTGTTTACTTTCCAAAGAGAATTTAGCAATAAGGAAATAGTTTCTCCTGTGACAGTGTAAAATCTCAATGGCAGATTTGCATGGTGGGTGTTTTCTAGTATGACATTAGCTGTTCAGTATACTAAAGCCATCTCTTTTTTTCTGTCTGATTGAAGGTTTGGTTTCAAAACCGAAGGGCCAAACGGAGAAGATACCAGAGGGCATTGATGTTTAGAAATCTGCACCCTGGTCCCTTGGGCCGCCCTGTGGGGGTAATCTATCATGGGCCTTATCACGTAGTCCCTGTTATGGAGCCTGCATGGAGATGCATTCCTGCAGTGCCACGTCCAGGTCTGCCCCCTGGGGTACCCCCACCACCTGTGATACCTGCACCTCTGCCACCCAGGCCATGGGGGATGCCTTTGCCACCCCCGGTACCTATGCCTCACTTTGCTCTGGCCCCTATAGGTGTGGCATGGGCCCCTATCATCAATGGTCATTTTATAGGCCCCATTTTCTGAAGATGTTATTCAGACAGTTTTCCACAGGGTGTTTCTGCTAGATATACATTGTGCAAAGCAAATAAAAAACCTGTTAAATGAACTAAGTGAAAGTACAAAATGAGTGTCAGTTGTTTCGGGAGGGCACATTGTGTTTTCAATAAGGAGACAAAATAGAAATATGTTGATTGTGAGTATCAAATGGGCTGAGTGGATGTGTGAATAGGAATTGCTAAGGCAATGCAATTCAAAGAGAAGGTCAAAGAAGCTTCCTTCCATAATGTAATGGGTCTGAGTGACTATAATAGGTTATGCACGTCAGAGTCCTCCCAGTGCCTGTAGTGGGTTTACACTGACCACATGTTCTCCCCCCAACCCCATCCGTACCCTTCCTCTTTGGGAGCACGTACATATGCAAGATGGGAAGGTATGAGCCTTTAGTGAGGTACAGTGTGTTTTCAGGTGGGGATATGTTCTATTCAAGGAGCTCAATAGCCATGGACAGAGGAGCCTGGCAGGCTACAGTCCATGGAGTCACAGAGTAAGACATGACTGAGCACACACATGATGGAATAGGAACCATTCTGGTTCTAAGACACAAGAGGGGACTCAATTAAGATCAAACAAGGGCTCTTCTTTGTTTTCTCACACTTGCTCCCAGCCTGAACAAGTCTATTATTGTAGTATCCCCAGCTCAGAGGCAGACGATCACACTTTGTATTTTGTCACACCCAACATCCAAGAGATGGTCCCTTGAATAGTGCTCCAAAATAGGCACTCATTAAAAAGAGCCCACCAGGCTCCTCTGTCTATGGAATTCTCCAGGCAAGAATACTGGAGTGGGTTGCCGTGCCCTCCTCCAGGGGATCTTCCCAACCCAGGGATCGAACCCACGTCTCTTGCATCTCCTGCATTGGCAGGCAGATCCTTTACCACTGTGCCACCTGGGAAGCCCTAAAAAGAAGCAGACTTTCACTTTGCTCATAATGTATTCATGTAAAACTGCCAAGTGAGAAAATAAAAAAATGGGAGGTGGGGAAAGGAGGCCAGGCCCATCATTTTTATTTGTTTATTTTTGTCTTAGAATCTGCTTTTTATTATAGAAATCAACTTTAGCAGGGACTTCCCCAGTGGTCCAGTGGCTAAGACTCCACACTCCCAATGTAAGGGGTCCAGGTTCCATCTCTGTTCTGGGAACTAGGTCCCACATGCCACAACTAAAGATTCCACATGCAGCAACTAATATATGACACAGCCAAATGAACACTTAAAAAACAATAATTATTAAAAGCTTTAGCAATATTCACAAACAGTAAAAGGATGATAAGATGTGAACATTAAAGACAAGACTGTCACGTCTTTTGGAAATAATTAGAGGCATGTATACACCATTCTGCTCTGAAAAGAAGAAAAATCTTTATCCATAGACAAAATATTTCTTAGACATTTTTTTTTAAGTTACCTGGTGTTTAACATCAACTCTATCCTAAGCACTGTTTTGCTTCTTTTTTTTGCAGGCCCACTATTTTTAAAAAATACTTTCTTTTCAGTTGAACAGTGACTTTATGAACAGTCAAGCTGTGAAATGACTGCAGTGACTTCAGATAGGAGTGTCACAGTGACAGGAGAATTTCACAGGAGGTGGGTTGGGGAGAAGAGGCTTATCAAAGCCGAGTTTCCTAGTTGTTGCATGTTCTAATTTGGAGGGAGACTATTTTCCAGGAAAAGGGTATGACTTTCATAGTGTTGTCCAACACTTTTCATTCCTTTCTTCCTTCCCTTCACACTTAACGCATACCAAACATCAGTAAAGGGGTTGTATCAAATGCGGGACTCCCGCAGCAAGGAGGTCATCACTATTGTAGAGGCCCCAGCCCCTGTTCAGAGCGAAGGACATCCAGGATGTGACAGTGCATGCCCATTGCCATCTTTTGAAACAGCCATCTTCATTTCTCATTTTTGCCCCCTTTCCTTCTTGTTAAACAACAGGTTCCTCAATGCTTTAAGTCCTCTTGGAACTACAGGGTCTGTAAAAATCAAAGCTCCAGGACCCCATACAGCCTTGCCATCCCAAGACTCAAATAGTACCCAGGGTACAAATCCTACAGTTCACTCTCAGATCTGGTCTGACAAACAGACAGGACATTTTTTTCATCTCAGTCTGCCTGGAAGAAGCAAAAAACTAAATACCCTTTCCCATAAGTGAAGGTCTTCAAAAGACAGATATACTATTTTTAAAAACATATATTTCTTCCAGGTGCCAGATGATTTAAAGAAGAATGGTGGGATGGGGGCAGAGGAATATGCAAAATGTTTCTGGGTATGATAGGTTCCCCTCAGTTTAGGTTTTAAAAGAGATGGGTCTTTTAAAATAATCTCACAAAGAACATCCTCTTAAGTGCATTTCAAAAATCTCCAAAGCATAGATCAGAAATTACTTATCCTAATATAAGAAAGGGGCTTCCCTGGTAGCTCAGACTCTAAAGAATCCACTTGCAATGAAATTATTTAGATGTGTTAAAAATTATTAGCAATTGACTATGGGCTAATCATTTCATTTACCTGAGACAGATGGTATGTAAAGACCTATAAAGGTGGCAGCTTTGGTTGACAAGTTATTTTAAAATAATTTTATTCATTTATTTTTGGCTGTGCTGGGTTTTCATTGCAGCACAGGCTTTTCTCTAGTTGGGGAGAGCAGGGGGTTACTCTTTTGTTGTGGTGCACGGGCTTCTCATTGCAGTGGCTTCTCTTGTTGCGGAGCATGGGGTCTAGGGCAGGCGGGTTTAAGTAATTGCAGGACATGGGCTCAGTAGTTGAGGCTCCTGGGCTCTAGAACAGGTCCGATAGTTGTGGCACATGGGCTTAGTTTCTCTTCAGCACGGGGGATCCTCCCAATTCAGGGATCGAACCTGTGTCTCCCACATTGGTAGACAGATTCTTTACCATGGAGTCACCAGGGAAGCCCGGGGCTGACAAGTTTTAAAAACAATCTCAAAAGAAGTATAACAGCTTCAGCATTTTACAGTAATAATTCTGGATGTGCTGTTTCTAAAGTTATTTCACATTGAAAAACACATGAAAACTTTCACAATAGTCATTTACATGGTCAAATTAAGCAGGGAGAAGGTATGAGGTATTTGTAGGAAAAAAGTTTTTTTTTTAATTAGAATTAGATTTATGTAAACTGGATCTTGTTTCAAACAAATCTAGTCAAAACCTTGGAGGTCCAACTTGGAAGAGCCTAAGAATCAAAATCCCAGCCATCCTTCAGGTTACAAGTACTTAGGGAAAGTGGGCACAGCAGGGAAAGACTAGGAATAATTATTTGGTTGAGAATACAAGGGTCTTCCTTGAGATTGGTGTGAAAACTGCCTTTTTCAACAAAGAGTTACATTGCTGTGAGTGCATTTTTTAAAGGAGAACAGAATTTAATCTGAATTGTTTTCAAAAGAACAATTGGGCCTTTGCTTAAATTCCTAACATAGGGTAATATGCCTAAAGTGGGCACGCTCTGAGCACATATGTGTATTCTGTTTTCCCACTCAGATAGTTAGTGCCAGTGTGACTCTCAGAATTGATGAAAACCTGAAAGTAAAATAATGGTGTAAAGTACAAGAATCCTTCCTTGTATTTTCTGATTGGTAGATCCTACTTTGTCTACTTTGAATCCTGTAACCCAGGACCTTCTATTGATGGTGGTGGAGAAATTGGTATAAAATGGTACATATATATACTACCATGTATAAAATAGATAGCTAGTGGGAAGTTGCTATATAACACAGAGAGCCCAGCTTGGCACTCTGTGATAACCTAGAGGGATGGGATACGAGGGGGGAGGGAGACTCAACAGGGAAGGGATATATATGCTGTGCTGTGCTTAGTTGCTCAGTCATGTCTGACTCTTTGGGACCCCATGGACTGTAGCCCGCAGAGTTCCTCTGACCATGGGGATTCTCCAGGCAATAATACTGGAGTGGGTGGCCATGCCTTCCTCCAGGAGATCTTCCCAACCCAGGGATCAAACCCAGGTCTCCCACAATGCAGGCGGGTTCTTTGTAAAGCAATTTTCCTCCAATTAAAAAACAAATTTAAAAAAATATCTAATAAAATACAGAAAAAATGAACTGGTACATAGGGATTCTCAAACTTTGAGTGGACACTTGCTGGAGGCAAATCATGTCACAACGTAACCCTCATCACACACCCTCCTTCCTAAGAATGCTGCACAAAATTATCATTTGGGGATTCATTTGAGGCTTTCCTCATGTTCCCTCCCAACTAGTCAAGGGAACAGAACATTCCAAAGAGAATGAACCCTTGCCTCAGGCAGTTCCTCTTCTTTTTTTTTTTTTTTTACAGTTCCTCTTCTTAGCGGATACTTTCTCATTTTCTTTTAATGTACTTCCACACAAGGTCACATTAATTTGGCAAATAAGGCAAACGTTCACAAGTCCTGCAGTCAAAAGACAGTGGTATAGTTTATATAGTTTATAGTTTCCTTCACTGTGCCAAAGCTTTTAAGTTTAATTGGCCCCATTTGTTTATTTTTGTTTTTATTTCCATTACTCTGGGAGGTGGGTCATGAAGGATCTTGCTGTGATTTATGTCTAAGAGTGTTCTGCCTATGTTTTCCTCTAAGAGGTTTATACTTTCTGGTCTTACATTTAGATCTTTAATCCATTTTGAGTTTATTTTTGTGTACAGTGTTAGGAAGTGTTCTAATTTCATTCGTTTGCACATAGCTGTCCAGTTTCCCCAGCACCACTTGTTGAAGAGACTATCTTTTCTCCACTGTATATCCTTGCCTCCTTTGTCAAAGATAAGGTACCCATAGGTGTGTAGGTTTATATCTGGGCTTTCTATCTTGTTCCATTGGTCTATGTTTCTGTTTTTGTGCCACTACCATATTTTATCTTGATGATTATAGCTTTGTAGTGTAGTTTGAAGTCAGGAAGGTTGATTCCTCCAGCTTCATTCTTCTTTCTCAAGATTACTTAGACTATTCGGGATCTTTTGTGTTTCCATACAAATTGTGAA